TGAACCCAGTGTGAGCCAGGACTGGGCCCGGCTCTTACTACATTTACAATGCAGTGCCGTAGTGGTCCCAGACCTGGCGCAAGCCAAGACTCATTAGTCCTGGCTTGCACTGAGTGCGTAAGCTACCCCTGCCATGGCTCTGCATTTTAAATGTAGAAAGAGCTGCAGGGGTTCCTGCTCTGTCCCGGCTCGCATCGGTCCAGGACCTATCCCCACTGCGGCTCTGCAGTTTAAATGTAGTAGGAGCCGGGTTGCCTGTGCCCTGAGCTCTTACTATGGGCTCATCTAGACTATGCAAAAGCGTCAAAAGAGGATATGCAAATTCTGCGGGGATTTGCATATCTTCTTCTGATCTCACTTTCGAAAGCAAAGCTTTCGAAGGTGAAAGTAGTCTGCATGTGTTTTTTCCGGCAACCCCCTGCTTCCTTTTTCAAAAAGCTGCATAAAGCTCATTTAAACTGCAGAGCAAGGGTAGCTTCTGGACCAGCATGAGCCAGGGCACAGCACCTTCCTTTATTGACTAATTGTGTAGTCAATAAAAATTGCATTGACTACACGATTAGTCAGTTATCCCCCTCTTAACATCCCTAGCCTCAGAACTGGCTGGCCAGAGAGCATCCAGCTCAGAAGCAGCACCCCGCCAACAGTAGTGCAAAAATAAAGGTGGCAATACCATATCACACCATGCTGTCCTTGCTTCTGTCTGTGCTGCTGTTGGCAGTGGCTCTGCCTTCAGAGCTGGGCTCCCGGCCAGCAGGCACCACTCTCCAGCTGTCCAGGTCTAAAGGCAACTCAGAAAAAAGGGTAGCAGTACCGGAGCCTCCCGATAATAGCCTTGCAACCCTCCCACAACTCTTCTTGGGTCAGGACCTCTATAGTTACAACACTATGAAATTGCAGATTTAAATAGTCGAAATCATGATATTTACATTTTTAAAAATCTTATGACCATGAAATTAACCAAAATGGATTGGATTTGGTAGGTCCCCGCATGTGTGTTCTCAACTTGGCAGTGCTAAGATACATAAACTCACACTGGTTCCAGTTGTCTTGTTCAACTTGATTGTTTAACTTTCTAACATGGCAGTTTAAAGCTATAAACTACCATGTGGTTAAATAATTCAGGCACGATTTCAAAAATGACTAGTGATTTAGGTTCTCCTTTTTGGGTGCCAAACTGGAACACTTTAAATGGACTGATTCTTGAGAGAGTGCGGAGAACTACCCTCTGAATAGCAAATCCCTTTAAAGTCTGGAAAGAGGCTTGTCATCACTTCTGAAAATCTTGGGGTTTTTTTTATCTCTTCCCTAAACATCCTCCCCCGCCCTCCTCCATGGGATACTTTTTTGTTTTTTTCAAGCATCTCATTTTAATTAACAAAATATATAACTAGTCATGGTTTTCAAGTCTGTGCCTTTAAAGATGCAAGACTAGCACATGATCTGTTACATTAAACGGACTTTGATAGACTGCTAGGCAACCCTTTAGGGTTGCATCTTATTCTGTCAGTGCAGTAAA